CGTCACCCCCTCCTCTGTCTCACACCCTCTCCTCTCCGTCTCACCCCTGGCCTGTTTTCTTTTGCAGAAGGACCTACCTCAGCTTCCTTGGGACGTGGCCCCTGTTGACAGCCTACAGCCTCCCAAAGACCCCAGCACACCCCCCTCCCAGCAGCGGCCCAGTGAGGATGTCGCCAACCCCGCCCTTCAGGTTGAGGAGCCCCCCGGACCACCCGCTCCCCAGGAGTTGGAGGCGGCTGCTAGCTCGCCCACCCAGGACAAGCCTGCTGGTACCTCCAGCACTCCAAACCACACGGAGCAGGACCTGGATCAAGCGCAGCCCAGCAAAGCAGACTAAACTGGGCTCAGCCCGCCGGCCCCGGGGCCGCAGACATGGACCCACGCAGGGCCACCTCGCCCTGAGACATGGTGCTTTCGCCTGGCCAATGCCCAGACCCCCACATGCTGCTCCGAGCCACAGTGCTGCGGGACCCAGCGGGCAGCTCTCGAGCCCCTACACTTGGCTTTCTCCTCAGGCTTCTGCCGGGGCCCAGTGGGCGTCTGCACAGATGGGCCAGCCGAGCAGCTGCCGGCTGCATCTTTACTCCTGGTGCTTTAACATGCTTCTTTGTCCGGTCAGGTTTTCTGTTTTCCTTCTGGCCAACCTGGCGCTCTGCTCCTGGTGGGAGGGGGCATCTGCCTTCCTGGTAGGTGCTGCCAAACCCTCCCCACCCCCAGTCCACTGATGGCCCTTCGGTCTGGAGGGTGTCTTGTGACTGTGGGGCGGGGCAGGCGGAGGGCCGCTGGCTCTGAGTCGAGACCCTTGTCCTCGTGTCACAAGCCCCCAGTGTTCTGGGCCCTGGACCAGGCTGTCTCGGGGTCACTCTGAGGGGCTGTGGGCTGCTGGGGGTCGGGCCCTCAGGACCAGTCCCACTGTACTTGTCTGCTCTCCTCTCAGTCCTGGGTGTCCAGACCAGGAAGCCCCCCTTGTTCCACCTGCGCTGCCAGCCAGCCCCCCAGCCCTCAGGCGCGTGCATGTTCCTCCCTCTTCGAGCGGCTATAGTCCTCCCAGAATGCAAGAGGCTTGTCTGGAATGCGTTGTCTTCTACCTCACCAGCGGGCCCCTCCTGGTGTGTCCCCACGTCAGCACGCACGCTGTGGACCCTGGCCGACGGAGCCACTTTCTGAAGCAGCGCTGCCCCTTGAGCCCCAGCCTTTGGACAGTCCCTGCCCCCAACGGTGGTGGGGGGCCCACTGACCACCAGGGTTCCTCCACCCACCCCCCCCTTTCATACTCCAGAGCTTCCCGTTGACCTAAAACGAAGGCAACAGCCCGACCACAGTGTGGTCTCCCCAGACACCTGTGGGAGGCCTCGGAAACCACTGGCTCCAGAGACTGCCGGCAGCTCGGTCAGCCTGGGGATGCTTCACGAGGGGCCCAGGGGCAAGTTTCCTTCCATCTTGTCTGTCTGTGGCCTGGGCGAGACTGGCCGGCCATCCTCCCCCAAAGGATCAGGACCCAAGGAAGAACTGCGTCCTGCCAGGGCAACTGTACCCTAACCTAAGCCATTTTACACAGGTGTCAGAGCAGAGGTTGGGTTTTGTTGCGGACACCTCACTGATGTCCAGGAACCCAGAAGGCGGACAAATGTCCGTTCCTCCAAGTTTCAGTTTGTATTTTTCTGCTTCTGTTTGAATCTTAAAATTAAACATAGCTTTTGATATTGACCCCAGCCTCTGGACTTTCTGTGGAGGAAAACATTCAGCCCACCCACCCTGAGGCATCAGACCAGGTTCCCAGGTTCCAGCCAGGGGAGGATGGTGTGAGAGCCAGGCAGCCACGTGCTTACTGCTCACATGGGTTTGGTGGCCTGAGCATGGGGTTTTAGAGACTGCTCACATCAACTGTCAACACTCAAGGAAGCAGCAGTCAGGTAATCAAACGACGTATTTATTGCATCAGACAAATCTGCTGCCCAAGACCTCTTTAAAGTGTTGAAGAGCAGAGATGTCAGCTTGAGGACTAAGGTGCGCCTGACCCAAGCCATGGTATTTTCAATAACCTCATATGGATGTGAAAGCTGGACAGTGACTAAGGAAGATCATAGAAGAACTGTTAACATTTTAGTTATGGTGTTGGAGAAGAACTTTCAAAGTACTGTGTACCGTCAGAAAACCAAATCTGTGTTGGAAGAAGTGCAGCCAGAGTGCTCCTTAGAAGCCAGGATGGGGAGATTTTTCTCCCACACTTGAGACATTATCAGGAGGGACCAGTCCCTGGAGAAGAATGTCAGGCTAAGTAGAGGGTCAGTGAAAAAAGAGGAAGACCCCCAATGAGATGGATTGGCACAGTGGTAGCAGCAGTGGGTTCAGACAACAGTAATTGTGAGGATGGCACAGGACCGGCAGTGTTTGCTTCTGTTGCACATGGGGTCGCTATGAGTCGGAACGGATTCGACAGCACTTAAAAACAGCTGTTTCTGGTAGCTCTTGAGAGGTGCGAGCAGTTCCGTGTCTCACTGCTACCCAGCAGGTTGGAGGTTCGGGTCCACCGAGAGGCACGTAGGAAGAATGGCCTGCTTCTGAAAACTCAGCCAAGAACCCGATGGAGCACAGCTCTGTGATCAGTGTGGCTGTCAGGCATGGGGGTCAAGTTGATGATAACTGATTTCTGTCATGTTTGTGTGTGGCTACTCATCCATCCATGTATCTACCCACTCAGCTAGTCCTCAACCACTCATCCACCCACCCACCAATCCACCATCTGCCACCCATCTAACCCTCCATCCAGTAATCCATCCATCTATACACAACCCACTCACCCATCCATCCATCTACCTACCCATCTATCAATCTACCCATCTACCTATCCATCCATCCACTACACCTATCCATCCAACTATGCACTCATCTACCCACCCACTTACCCACTCATCCATTCACCTCCCACACATCCATCTGCCCACCCACCCCATCCATCCATCCATCCACCACCCACCTACTGATCCATCCACCTACTACCCACCCATCCACCCATCTATCACCCATCCCATTCACCATCCCTCAAATCAGTCTTTACTGAGCATGCACTGTATGCCTGTCCCTCTCCATGCCTATGTCCTGGACTCACATTCTGCCCCCAAGAGCTCACCTGGTGATGTCGAATACACCTGCAGGTGTGTGAGTATCAGGACGTGGCCCAGGGCTGTGGAGACAGTACCACATATTGGGTGTCTTGAAATCCTAGTAACTTTCCATCTCCCTGCTCCAGAGGCCAGAATCTCATGGGCACCTTCCTCCCATGGACTCCAGGGGAGGATCCACTGTGTCTTCTCCAGTTTCTGGGTGTCCAGGTGTTCCCTCTCTGCTCCTCATCACGTGCCCATCTCCCCTCTGTGTCCACGTGTCTCTTTTATAAGGACACCCCTCAATGGGTAAGTACCCATCCTACTGCACTCTGACCTCATGTAAACTGGTGACTTCTTCAAAGATCCTCTTCCAGACGGCTCTGGGGATCAGGACTGCACAGATCTTTTTGGGGACACGACTGACTGACACAGGACAGAGGTAAGTGAGGAAATGGATTGGCTCA